ACCCACATCCTCCTCCCGCCTCCCGTCCCCTCTCTCCCCGCAGCGCTCGCAGGTCACCCCCAAGCGCGGGGGGCTCCGGGGTAGTCCAGTGCTGCCCACACACACCGGGAATAGCACCACCCATGTGAAACAGAAATTTCAAGGAGGAGATGGGGAGTGTTTGGCACTGCTGGAAGGGCAGATGAACGCACAGCCGAGCTGGGAACAGGACACAGAGCATGTCACACCAGGCAGCGACTCCTCTGCGGGCCTCTCACTGCAGCTGGAGTTGGAGAATGGGGAAGCCACTAATCCTCCCGGATTTTCTACTCCACTGGGCACTAAAAATGCCTGATCTTGGAAGCAGCTACAGAAGGGAACTTGGTTTTGCCATCCTTTGCAAAGGGGAACACAAGCCAAACCCCAGCCAGTGGAAGAAGGAGTAAAAAGAACTGAGAGAAATGAAATAGGAACGGCTCCAGAGTGACAGGGAAGGGAAAGGGGAAAGGAAAGAAAGCTGGAAGCAAGTAGCGACAACGTTCTGTTGAGTCTGGCAGTGGCAGCTACAAGATTTCTTAATGCTACTGCTGTAATCTTGCAGAGGTTCTAATGGCTGCAAGGATTTGGGTGCACAGAGGTGACAAAATGAGCATCCTTAATAGCTCTTTTTGTTCTTGTAACATCTCCCAGGTCCATGTGGAAAAACACTTCTGGGAATCCACTTCTGCACAACTGTAGCACTCAGTGTGAGTTTGACATTGCAACCCACCCCCATATCTCCCCAACACAGATAACACAATAACATAGTAACACAATTACACCCATTTTGTTCCTGCAAGATCTTCAGCAGTCCCCAAGGATTAAATTTTAATAACTGTAAATAAACTAATAAAACACAATACAAATTAACTAATGTATATGTATTGCTATTGACATCATAATATTTTCAGTCACAGGTTGATGACCATGGTTAAGGAAGGAAGGTCCTGTTTAGGTCACATGCTATAACCTTCTCCAAAGAGCTGAATGGTCTCAGCTCTCACAGCTGCTGAATTTGCCTGGATTGTGAACAGATCAAATCTATTTTGGGTATTTTTTTCAAAACAAACCACATAATTTAGATATATACATTCCCAATGTCCTTTACCTATGAGAACTCCAGAGTACCTTGACCAGAGGGAGATGCTGGTGTTGCCATGGAGACTGGAGTGGAAAAGTACTTGTCCGATACCACTGTATTTTGTTTGATTCCTGTAGGTATCCAAAAAAGCACAGGATTGTCATGTTCTGGGCAGATGTGAGGCTGTGGGGAAGAAGTGGCACAGCTATTCCCTGAGCAGGCTGATGTGCCAGCTCTGTGTCTGTCCAGGCTGTGCTCACACTTGATGTCTCAGCACGCGCCATGTCATGGACTCCAGTTATGGTGTCACCCACAGTGACAATCAGTGACCCCAATCTTTGAAGGCTGCTCCTGGTCCCGTGTTATTTTCCAGCTTGACCTGGACAGCTGTGAGCTTAAACAGAACCGAGCATGGGTTCTCAAAGAAAGTGGCACTTCTTACGTCACCAGAGCTGAGAAGCTGATTGTACAAGGCACAAAGGTAAAATTAATTATGTGTGTCTCAGGCTCAAGGAAGAGATGACTAATTATCCTACTGAGGTGGAAAAAACTTACCACCTTCCGTGAAATGACAGTTCAGAATCAAAGGTTTAGTTGCCCTGAAACCCTCTGTCACTGTCCTGATGTTGGCACAGAGTTATCAGAGATTGACAAGCTCCACTCCAATTCTATCATGAATTAATTATCATCATGTTGGTGTAAGGACTTACTCCCACTGGTCCTTTCTGCTGTTTGCTGGTGGCCTCTTCCCTGGAGTTAAGTTGAATGCATGGTCCCGGGAGGTCTTGGGGTCAAACTCAAAGCCCCTCCTAATAAGAAATTTTCAGTTTTGTTAGAAGGCTTCTCTCTTCCCTGAGTGCCTCCCAGCCAATTACTGTGTCAGAGTATGGGGAGGCTGAGCCTAAAACAGTGCATAGAAAATGTTTCTAAAATACATGTAATTTTATAACAGATTTTAGTTAACACTTCATGGAAAATAATCTGAGATTACAGTTACCTGGGAGTCAGAGTCTAGGGGGAACACCAATAAAATCGTCTGGCACGATTTATTCCTAGTTAGTCCATGAACACATCTTTCTGAATAGGTGTACAATACTTTTTTTGAGGCTCTTTACCAGAACGATAATGAACAGCACATGTATGACTAAAGTTGAGAAGACCAAGAGCTCTACACTACTGCTTTACATTTCGTTGTACCTGCACAACTGCACTGCCTGGGAACGCCTTGCTTTTCCATGGAAATCTCAGTGTCAGAAAGCAAACACACTAAAACCTCTGAGGAATGTGACGCGGCAGAGGGGAGGCAGCCGGTGTCCAAGGGGAGTGCTCCAGGAAACAGGTCCTTCAGGGAGCATCCGCCTGGCACCGACAGGTCATGGCAGAGATAAACAAATGCTCTCATCCAATGGAGCGCGGGGGGCTGGCACAGCCCTGCTCCGGGGGGGAAGGCGGGGTCTGCGCCCGGCTCCTCATCCAGGGCAGGACTTGAGTGTGGGCCCGGGCCCCTAAGTTCAGCCCCCGGGCACCAAGTCGTGGCCCTAAACCCCCAGACACCAGCACCTAAAATCCTGGCACCAGCCCCTAAATCCTGGCACCAGCTCCTAAATCTTGGTACCAGCCCCCAAAATCCCTGGCACAAGATCCCAAACCCCAAGTACCAGCCCCTAAATCCTGGCACCAGCCCCCGACTCCCGCTCCAAGCCCTGGGCCCGGCTCCGTGTCCCGGTTCCCCACCCCAGATCCCAGCTCCATTCCCAAATCCCGGATCCCGGCC